CACGGGCCACGCCCGTGACGGCGATTGTGACATGGATGCCTTTGAAAATGAGAGATTTGGCGAACTTGAGAGTGGGGTTGAGGTGCCCTTGGAGAGCTGCTGAGACCATGAGGACATGAGTTTTTTGATCAGCCACAGTCACAGCCGCAGCCACCATATTGTTGTTTGTGAGTTGGGATGTGGGAGACAATGAAAGAAAGACGAACGCTTTGGCACTTTGCTCAATTGGAAGTTGGTTCAGCTCTATTTATAATGTTATGTGAGGAAGGACTACTCGAGAAAAATCCAAAATTAATGACGTAGGTAATTGGTTTACCTAGGAAATTTCATAAACATTAGCACGTTACAAATTGGGAAGTAAAACGCCTAAAAAACCACCACCATTTGCATGATATTTTTTACTCGTCAAATCCTTTAATTTCCTCCCAGCAATGTCAGCTATAAGCATATCAAGATTCCGGTGACAAGATTTGTCGTCTTCCATCCCTCTTTTTGCCACCTCTCCTTCAACTTCCACCCTATTTTCCCATCCAAAAAACTCACTTAAAATAACTCAAAATACAAATTACATTTAACAAGAAATTAGAAATTAACTTTCCACATCCCCTCAAAAGTTTATTGAACTTCTCTGACGCAAGTACCAAATTTTTGAGATAGTGCTTTAATCGAAAATGAATGACAAAATTTTTGGTCAGAAATTTATTTTTTTTTTTAACACAACAAATATAAAATTTGAGGATTTGAAATACTGACCTAAGAGAGAAATAAATGTATACTCATTTAGGCAGGAGAACTTTTTGTTTGATAATATTCATGGTAGAATTACAAATTTGGCAAGAGAATATTTATTGGATAACTACAAACTTACCAAAAAAGTCAGAGGCCTTACTTAAATCAGCTCTTTAATAGAATAAAAACCAGCTTCGTGACTGACAGTGGCTGACGAGGAATTTCAATTTGACCGTTTTTGAGGACATTCTTCTCAAAATTACAAGGGACAGCTACAATTATGTAAAAAATATTTAATAAAATTAGTAAAATAGTAACTATATTTAATTTTTTAAAATATAAAACTTAGGTTCAATTTTAAAATGACAACTTTATCTAAATGATATACATCTGTAATATATTTGACTACTGATATATGTATCTGATATACTACTGATATGAGTGTCTGTGCAATATGTATGTGATATATATCTAAGATATTACTGATTTGAGTGTTTGATATACTATTATTATACTACTGATACGGGTATCTGATATACTATTCATATAAGTGAAAATTTTTGCTATATTTGAAAATTTAAAAAACAGGTGACATATTTTGAAATATATAAAAGATTTTTGCTGTCCACCATAATTTCTCTTACTAAAAAATCGGCCACATGCAAGATTTGACGAGTGTAGGAATGGTTGAAGTTTGATGAAAAATAATCCAAGTGTTATCCACCACCATTTTCCAAAGCATGGGAACTAGAAAAGAATCGACTATGTATCTCAATATTGTTGACATCTTTCAATGAAATTGTTTTGTTGTTCATTGTCAAAATTGAAAGAACCATGTTGCATTAAATCTTTTTCTTCATCTTCTAGCAAGAATATGATACAATTGCTTGAGTTGCAAAGAGGGCAAACAAAATCCCCCACATTAGTTAGGGAATAGATTGATCCATGATATATAAGTAAGAACAACTATATTCGTTGGTATGAGGTATTGTGGGTGAAACCAAAATTAAAGTTACGAGGATTATGTCCAAAATGGACAATATCATACCATTCTAGAGATATCTTAGATACTTTGAGTACTAAACATTTGAGATATATGTTGCATTTCCTTTAATTTCTTGGCATGAACAATAATGACATGTTTTCCTTCAGCATCTTATCATTGCCAAGCTTTACTTGAGAGAATTTATTTCCTGCCATATGATTATTTGCAACCACTATCCAAATACCCTCATAGTTCGAGATTCACTTTAGTGATCAATTTTACAAAAAAATAATTGTTCCCTTCATCTTGTCTTTTGTAAAATTTGCTTAATCTTTTTCCTTTTTATTTTGAAACCAACCATCTTTTCTAGAATGATTTGTAATCCATTCTAAAGTAACAATATTTATATTGATGATTTTTCATAATGCAATGAGAGTCAGAATTACAAGACGTTTTGCAACTTTGCCATGAATCTTTTTGTGATTTTGCCTTAAAATACTTTTAAGATATATTTGAAAGGTGATGTTTCTAACTCATTGCCCCATTAATGCAGTTTTAGTCTTGTCGTTGCCTTTCATTTTTTTTTTGACTTTTTGACCAAACACAAACTTTTGCGACGAGATAAATAGGAAACAATTATGTAAAGGACACGTTGCCATTTAGAACTCTAGCATTTATTTGTGCTATCTGTTTTCTTGGTACTTCACTTATATATCATGACGACAGTGCTTCTTGAACAAATTCATTGAAAGAAATAAAGATATTGAGATTACCTCTCAAGTAATTACTTATACAATTCTGAAAAGTATTCTCCAAATTTTTGGATTTCATCCCTATTTTGAGGAAAATAACTCATAATAGATAGATACATTAAGACGTCAAATAAAGGATGTTATGAAAATTTAAACACTAAGTGAAAAAAATTTTAAGATATGGCCATAAATGGATAAATTAGGACTTGAAAATCTTAAGATATGGATTAATGGATAAATTAGGACTTGAAAAATGGATATGATTTTCTAAGAACCCGAGTGAAAATAGAGTTTAGAAAGTAGATTACCTAAGCAATTACAAGTATTTAATTTGGAGTAACTAACCATATAAGACTAATATCATTTCATTACTTTCAAGAACTTTCTTAGTACGTAACACAAGGGGAATAATTGCCTTAGTGTGATAGTCTCATGAATTTCTCATGTGCTACAATCTCGTGGTTAACATATGTCCTTGTTGCAGTACAATAGTTAGCAGGTGATCCAAGACCGAGAGACGGAGCAGTTTGAGAAATATTGAGCCTAAGCTTAGAGGGTCTTTAATGGGAAGCTAAGCTCAATTAAACTTGTACAAAGACCTACATCGAAAGAATGAAACAATTAAACAATTGAGACTTAGATATATTGTTCTTCACAAGTTCCAAGGCATTCATATCATTGTTTTTTTCTCTCTTCTTGCTCACACATTCTCCTAATAGTGACTTGTCATGTCAATTCGTGGTTTTTGTTCAACTTTACTAAGAAATACGACGAGAGTAAATAAAATAACCCCCCTTTACAAAATAATTATGAAGATTTTTTTTAATAATCATTAATTAGCTAGCATAGTTCTAGTTAATCATTATTATCTAAGTTAATAACTCATTTATGTACATACAATCAACGAAACTTTTCAAAAGATTTTATTGGTAATTAGTTTTTAAATATTATATTCATCATTACATTTACAAAATCACATATTTACAAATATTTCAGAAAATAATCCCATATAAAGTTAGTAGAACCACTCTTTAATTATGTATAGGAAAGTATATTTTGTTGTTTCATTAAATGCCATAATTTGTTATAATTTTCATTCATATTCTCATCTTCTTCTGTCCATATATGAACTTTGACATTGAGAAAAACAAACACACTGATTTCTAGGACATGCAAAGCAGCGTTACAGATTGGAAAAACGCCATATAATTAAGAAACCGCTGCATGACCTTTTTTTTACTCGTCAACCCTTTCTTTCCCTACAATGTCAGCAATAAAAATATCAAGATTCCGGTGAGAAGATCCGCCGTCTTCCACCGCCCTTTTCGCCGCCTCCTTCAACTCGGCCGCCCTTTTGGCCATCGCCTCCGCCTCTGGCCCGTCGGTCATCTCCCTTATGCATCTCTCCACCTCTTCTGAACTCACTACTCCGTCATCTCCCTTTTGCATTCTCACTCCCACCTTGAAAACATCCGTTAGCAATTTGGCATTCGTAGGCTGATCCGTCCACTCTGGAAACGCTATCACCGGAACGCCGGTGACTATCGTCTCTAGCGTCGAGTTCCACCCGCAATGAGTCAAGAAGCAACCCACAGCACCGTGCTTGAGAACCTTGTCAAGAATGTGCATAAAAAAGATTATATCATATCCTATTAACTTAATTTTTTAAATTTAGCTAGTGGCAGTTCATAACTCTATTGGGTAATGTTTCTATTTTTGGTTAGTCATTTATCATTTTACTTATCTTGTTCCTTGTTATTTATTTTCCTTTATATATATATTTGGTAATTTTTGTTTTTTTAAGAAAAATACAAAACTAAGTTTACAGTTTTCCTTTCTATTTTATTATTGAGTACGATGAAAAAATGGGTTTGATAACTTAAATTTTAATCAGAAAAAAGAATCAATATTATACATGAAAAGTATTATTTTTTAAATAAATAATCAAAATTACTTTTGTATATTTATTATACATTTTATAAATAGAAAAAATGATAAAATAATAATTGTATTTATGTTCTTGAAATTGTTGTTTCCAATCCCTATATACAATTTTGCCAATTCGACCGTAACGAATTATATATCGTCAATAAATGTATCACATAAATGATATATAAGTGACCATACATCTTATTTATATATATTAGATACATTAACGATACAAAATAGCATACCTATAATATACGAGAGAGAAAAATGATCATATTTACCAATTATTTTTCTATGCAACAAATTTACAAATATATTACAACCAAATTTTAAACGCAAAAAATACCTCTTATATCTTGGCAACAAGAATGCGTGTGAGCTAGGTGTCAACATCTCATTAGTTCAACTAATTAATTTCACTTAAGTGTTCACTCTAGTTACTACACACATACTCTTTTATTTTCTGACCACCACTAGGAATGACAACGAGGTGGCGTCGGGGGGCCATCCTCATCCCCGCCCCAGGATTTTTGCCCCATAGCACCCATCCCCCAAATTTTGTGGGGTGAGATTCCCCGTTAAAATATATATTTTTTTATATTTTATTTTTTAAAATTTTAAATTAATCTTATATTACTAAGGAGTGAAGAAAAAATGACTAATGAGACTATTAGCTTGAGTATTTTTTTTAAGTTTAAAAAATATTTATAAAATTTATATATATTAATATTATTATGTAAAAAATAGAAAAATAAATAAAATATTAAACAAGACAGTAAATCCTCCCCATCTCCATCGGGAACCTCGATTAGGATTCCCGATTCGACCTCGTCCTTGGTTAAACTAGAGATTTTCAGATCCTATCGGATCGAGTCTCATAGATTTTTTGCCATCTCTACCCACCACTAAATTTGAACGAGTGAGCAGTTAAATTTTTATGGCTGATAAGCAACAAAATAAGCAATTTTCTCACATACAATTAACTTCTAGTAATATACGAACCAATTAGATGTTAATACAAATATTCAAAAGAAATAAAAGAAATAACCCTTTTAATTTAAATTTAACAAACCTGTTCTTGAGAGCACCAATTGACGACGAGGCCCCTCCCACCAACATCCTCCAAAAACCCCGCCGGCAACTCAACAGCTTCCTTCTCCGACGACCCTTTTTTCAAAACCCAAAGAAACGGCTTCCCGCTCCTCTTGAGCCCCTCTGCAACATTCTCAATCTGCCTCCGAGACAGCACAATGATACTCCCAAACGACACGTAAACCACGGACCCCGTCGCCCGCCCGTCCAGCCACCGCAAGCACGACTCATCCGCCTTCCACAGGTCCACATTCTTCACCCCACCTTTGGTGTCATCTTCTTCCCTCCCGAGCAGAAACGGGGACACCAACGGCCCCACGGGACGAACCGTGGGGCGCAGGCCCGCCATGGAGGCCACCACCTCCCCCTCCAGCTCCTCGAAGGAAGTCCCCAGCACCCACCTCACGTCGTCCCTAATCGCTTTGAAGAAGACCGAGAGAATATTTGTGAAGCAGCGGGGGCTGTTTGGGAGGAACAAAGAAGGGAGGTCGTCAAGGCCGAGGAGCGGCAGGCCGGGGAGTTCGACGGGGAGGTCCCGGGAGCCGTGGAGGCAAGGGAAGGGGTTTAGTTTGTTGAAGAAGCGGTAGTAGATGGAGTAGAGCGCGCAGGGCTGGATCCACAGCACGGCGCAGGGGATTTGGTGGCGGGCGCCGAGGGGGATGAACCACGGCATGAATTGGTGGAGGATTAGGCACGAGAATTTGGTGTGTTGGGACAGCTTGGTTATTAGATTCGAGAGGTTTTCGCGGCCTTTGGTGCCGAGCGACTCGAACCACTGGTCGTAGTTGCTCTCGCGGTTGAACTCTAAGTCGAGCCCGTCCGAGAAGAACTCGAGGTGGATCGAGGGGGCGGCAGTAGCGGTAGCGGTGGTTTTGAGCATACGGCTGCGGGCGACGTCGGTGGTGGCGATGGTGACGTGGATGCCTCTGGAAAGGAGGGATTTGGCGAACTTGAGAATGGGGTTGAGGTGCCCTTGGAGGGGTGCTGACACCATTAGGACATGAGTTTTTTTATCAGCCACCATTGTTGTTCAACTTTTAGCTTTTTTGGTTTTGGTTTTGAAGGTTTTGGAGAAGATGCTTGTCATATATAGAGCTCGGTTAGGTAGCTTTTTCATTTTTTTTCCCCTTTTGGTAGCGGAAAAAAATATGGTAGGTTTTATATGTAACTTTTTCAACTTTTAAGAAGTGTGAATTAGACTTATTACATATGTTTAATAGATTAAAGTGTTGGTTTTTCTTGAGTACACCAATATATCTTGGTGGAGTTCGAATACACAAACTTTTGATTGTAAATACGTATCTTAACCGGTTAAGTTAAGTTTAAGTTGACAATCTCTCGTTGTTAAATGTATATGAAAGGGAAGTTAAAAATATCGTTAATATGAACATAGTTAAATGAATATGACACTATTACCATCCTAAAAGTATATGATTCAATCTCCACCCTTTAATATTGCTTACCACTAAACGAAGAAAGCAGCTTATAGGTGTCGGCAACCACATTAGATCGATAGTTCACTAGTCTCCCTCTTATGAAAAAACTATTTAGTTAAATGGGCTTTTAACGTTTGGAATATTTTTCAATTTGGTCCATAATCTATTATATATTAAAAAGAAATAATCTTAAAAATATATATTTTTAGACTACTATGTTGATTTCTAAATTTCTAAACTACAAGACATGCCGCTATTAATTATCAATATAAAACAATTTATTTAAATCTTAAATTACTTTCTCTCTTTAATTATTAACAATTTATTGATTTCAACCTCTAATCTTTATTTTTCAATATAAAATTATCGGCCACATGATAATAATTTTTTGAAAGTAAGACAAATAGGTAGTTTCTCCAACTCTCCATCTGGCAATTTAATCAGGCATTCCGGCGTCCCGTGCCCTAAAAAAATTTTGCCACGTAGTTTCCATTTTCTCTTCACAGTAAATAAAAAATTTCCAGAAAGTTTACGTTACTTTTCCTTTCATCTTTTTTTTTTCTTTTTCACAAAATTTTAGGTTACTTTCCTCTTCACAATAAAAAGTTTCCCGAATAAAATTTTCCTTTTATGTGGGGGAAAACAGCGACGGTTAAAGGAATAGCCTTTTTTAAGGCCCAAAATTAAACAAATGGCAAACTGATGATGTAATTACAATACATGGCTGAATTATATGAAGGAAAAAAGGAAAGAAAATGATGAAAATAGATTTTAACCGAATTGCATTTAATTAAAAACCTAGTCAATGTTTGACATTCAATTGAATTCAAGAAATTTGATTTACTCAATATATCATTTATATCTAATACAGTGAGCCATGTTGTTCTTTCTTTCCTTCTATTTTTCTGTTTTTGAGAAGCAACGACCTTTGGTTAATTGATTAGTGATTTAGATTCCACGCAAGTAATAATTTATTGACGTTGAATTAACTAAGTTCATCACGCCATACCTATTTCATGATATGAATTTGGTGGGTAAGGACAAACCTAGATATAATGTAGTTTGGTGGGACAAAATCAATTCAAACATCAATAGACAAAATGCAATTATTACTATCTTTAATATCAATAGTTTGATCTCCACCCTATCGTTGAACTAGAAAAAAGGGAGGATGCTAATCCTAGATATATGACATTTTTTAGCCAAAAAAATTATGTACCATGTCATTATGCCCGAAATGAGTCGAGAGATGGTGAAGCCTCAAGGTGGTAGCGATCTCTCGCACCTCTAGAGTCATCTGCAGAACCAAACTCAACACTAATATTATGGTCAACCTAACACCTTTCGATGTCTAAGTTAGTACTTAGATCCAATTATAGGAGCATGATGCTCGAAGATGTATCCCTAAATATCTGATTCATACTACCGGCAAGAGAGAGCCGTCTACGATCCTCAAAGATTGTTCGACGACCAAAATCACTCCCCCGCTGCCGACCGACAATCGGTCTGGAACTTCTTGCTCGCTGTTTAGACACGGGATACTGTGCCTGTATGCCTACTTTGCAGGCTTACTATGATTGGACGAGCCGAGGGCCCACGAGTCTCTTGGGCCATGTGATATATATAGAGATTAGTACATTGATAGGCTATTTAGAAACTATAATTACATAAAAGGATTGAATGTATAAAATTTACACTTCTATCATGAAACAACCCCATTTAATATGGTACCCATCACCAAATTTACTAATATATCATTTTGTATGTACACCTCAATATTGATTAATTTTTAAAATCCAAAATTGGTTATTTTGGAGGTTGCCTTTTAAATCCCTTAAATTTTGCCTAATTATACTTTCCAAATGTAAAAAATACCAAATCCCCAAAATCCTCCAAAAAATTCAAAAACCTCATTCCTCAAACTTTTCTTCTTCCTCAGTCGTTCTGGTTCCATCCATTCCTTCGTCTCCAACCGTCGTCTCCATTCTTCTTTGTCGCCGGAACAATCCGTCTAGCTTCTCCTTCGTCTCCGGCCACCCGTCCATTGTTTCTGTCCGTTTATCCCGAGGTTTCTTTTTTGTCGCCGGCCGCCCGTCGACCATTCGAGCCCTCCGTTTATCCTGACCATTGTCTAGTCACCGGTCGAAAGGTTTGTAGGTTATTTGCTTTGTTTGCTAATTGTAGAGGAATATAGTCGTATATACTTTATAACAAGATATACGTTATATCTCCATATAAGCGTATGTTATAATGACTATAGTCTATATCACCATTGTTAAATGTATGTTGCTTAAGTTTATAGCCGGATATAGTTTATATTTCCATATTAATAAAATATATATATATATATATATATATATATATATATATATATATATAAAAAAGTGTATGTATGGGAGATATACATATTTATAATAACTATAGTATTGAATTTTGACCAAAAATTATAATGAAATGAAAAAATATTTTGTAATAAATTTCACTATTTAGTAGAATATATTAAGGAGTAAATTAGGACATTATGAAAATGATTGATTTAGGTCCCACGATAATTTAATGTTTACAAAATCAAATTTGGAATATTAATCTTTTGCATTTAAATAAAAGACTAATTATAATAAATATAAATGCCATAAATAAGGACAAATTTGGTATTTGAAAAAAATTTTAAATCCAGAAATCTGTAAAATTTACAAACATTGGACATTTGTGAAAATAAGTTTCAAAAATAGCTCATCTAAGATATTATCTCATATAAATATATGTATTGTTATTAGTCCACGCACTTTTAAAATGTTCATTTTTTTGTCTCTGTACTTTCAACTTTAGTGCTTTTTTTTAGTACAACATGTGCGGGTGGGAGATGAAACTTACAATCTCTTAGTTTTGGAGATATAATGCTAATTAGATATAAGAAATTTTGGATTTTTGTCCGTTTTCTTAATTCAAATTGGACTTTTAACCCCCTTTCTAAAATCTCTTATTCATGACCATCTCTTCTAATTTTTGACCTATTTTCATTTTCGGACTTTGTAAAATTCCCAAAATATCCTCATTATTAAAAAGCAAAATTCTACACCATCTTTATTTCCTCCGTCAATCTCTCACCATAAACATCACAATAATCAATTACAAACTTAAAAAAATCTAACTTTTAAACTTGAAAAATTAATTACGAATGGAAAACAATCTAACTCAAATAGTTAATTACGTATTTATTATGGAAAAAATCAAGATACCCTAAAATTCCACTAAGTTGACCTAAAAAACCCCATAAAACATCACTGGCCAAAAAAAAAACAAATGGGAAAGCAAGAATCCCGGACAAAAATAAAGCCCGAAGAATCAAGAAAAAAAGGCAAATCCACGATAAAAGGGCCAAAAAAAAAAATGCACGTATCCCGACCCGGATAGCATAATCGCGGATCGGGATTGCATAATATCGTGGACCAGGATAGAATACAAATGTTATCTCGGTCCGGGATTGTTCTACCCAGGTCGATTATGTAATTTCGTTCCAGGATTGTTCTATCCTAGGTCGGGATATTCATGTAATTTTTTTTATAATTATCTTTTTTTAAATTAAATTCTGGATTTATTCAATCTTGCCCTATTTATGGAATTTTGACCAAACTTTTAATTAAATATTCACATTTATGCAATTTTGGGTTGGGATGATGGAATTCGATTTTCATTAAATATTTAATCATTCAATTTTGTAATTTCAACATTTTATTATAGATTTTTTCCGTATTAAATTAGTAATTATTTTTTCAAATTTTAAAAGTTGAGTTTTTTTGGCAAATTTTAGTTCATTTTCTCTCTACTTTCATCATTTTAATTTTTTTGTCCACGTACTTTTTTCGTTCTCTTTTCTCTCTCTTTTTCTTCTTCCCCATTTTCTCTTTTTCTCTTTCTTCTGGTAATTCTATTCTCCTTTTTCTTTTTCTTTCTCCCCTTTCTCTTTTCTTTTCCATTTTTTTTCTTTTTCTTTCTTTCTCTCTCTTCTTCCATTTCTATTCTCTGTTTTTTTTTTCTCTCTTCCCTTACTCTTTTCTTCTCATTATCTCATTTTCTTCTTTCTTTCTCTTCTTCCGTTTTTGTTCTTCTTTTCTTCCTTCTCCCCTTCCTCTTCACCACTCGACTAAAACTGATCGATCGTAGTATAGTTGGTCGATTAGAGTGGTGGAGCTTTCTAATACCGACAAGCTCCAACTTATAGAAATTGAATTTGTCTATAGTCAGGTTTGAATCTAAAACCAACTCTGACCGATCACTAATGATCACCCCTAGGGGTAAATATCAAAAGTTATTTTCACCCCCGAACATATGAATCTTAGTCTGATGCTTTCAGTTTCGTATTTCTATTTCTTAAAATTAGACTTTCTAGTCATAGATATGTTATTATTTTTTGTTTAGAGAAATTTCAACATAAATTTAAGACAAAATACACTATGGTCCCGAAGTTTATATAAAATGGTTCTAAATAGTCTTTAAAATGCTTTTACCGTTAGTTGACTAACTCCTAAAAATGATTTAACTCTTAAAATTTTGACGGTAATAATGTTGATTTTGCAAAATATATTAAAGGAAGGAGAAGAAAGAAGAAGAAAGAAGAAGATGAAG